AGGGCGGGGCCCAGCCTGGGCACTGGTGGCCGCCCTGAGGCCCCATGTTTCCACCTCCTGATCCGGCTTGTCCTGAAGTACTCGAGTGCAATGGTTGTGGGTGCCTCTGGAGGCGCCTCCTCTCTGCCCCCAGCCTTGGTCGGGCCTCCAGGCACACCTGGGTGCTAGAGACCACCAGGCCTATGGGGCAGGAAGCCAGGTCCACACGCCCCAGCAGCCCCCCTCCTGCCTGTCCCTGGCTCCCGGCTCCTGCCCCTACCCAGGGCCCCCCACCGCCACGACCCACCTCATTTTCTGTTCTCATTTTGCAGAGTTGCACAAGGAGAGAACTCAGCATGGGGGGTTGGTTCTTTGTTTTTTTGTTTATTTGTTTAATTTAATGATTTGTAAAGTGACTGTTCCTCTTCCTTTTTTTACACTTTTCAGCTCATATTTAACCTCTGTTTGAAAAATGATTCTTGTAACTGTACATTTTTTTGCCTCCTAATAACAACAACGACAAAAATAAATGACCGATTTTGTGTTGGGGGGGTGTATGGTGCTGGTTATTTTTCTGCAGATGGCATGCCCTGACCGCAGCCCAGCAGGGACACCAGGCACCCCCACGCTGGGCACCAGCGGAGCTGGAGAGCCACGCCCACAGGAGGAGGCACGTGCATACCCAGACACAATGGCCTTCACAGAGCTGCCCAGTCGTGTGTCGGGGCTCCGGGGCTGCCTCCTCGCTCTCAGGCTCTCAGGGAGTCCCAGCGCGGAGCTGGTGGCTGCTGAGGCAGCAGCCTGGGCTCAGGTCACGGGGGCAAGAGGATGGCTGGATGCTGCTTTGTGTTCGGACGGAGCCTCCTCTCTGTCCCAGCCCAGAACCCCACTTGCCACCAGGGTAGGGCCTGGACCAAGACTGTCTCTGCCCCCAGAGCCCAGCCCCGACCCAGAATCGGCTGATTATCCTCTCGGGCCCAGTGGCTTTGCCGGCTTCGTCACCTCTCTTGGTGCTGGTCCTGCTGGTCCCTGGGAGGGCCCACCTCACTCTGCCTGATTCTGGTCCTCCCTGCACCCTGCTGTAAGAGCAGGACCCCTTCCACGCTGCTCGCTGCTCATAGCTGCTGCCTCAGGGCCTAGTGGGCTCGACTTGCTCAAATCCGAGGCCATCTTGACCCAGTTTTCCAGCAAGCCCCGCCTACCTGCTCTGCCTCCCTTGGCCTCCCCTGCACCCGGGAAAATGGAGCAGGCCTCTGCAGAATGCCCCATCCCTTCTCACTCCTGCATCTGTAGGAAGGAGGAGGCGCATGTTACCCTAGCTCTGGGGGCAAGATTCACAGGGCTCTGAGCCCCTGGGCCTCCCCGGCCCTCACCCATCATCGGTGCCCGGGGCCTCCTGAATCCCTTTCTAGTCATCAGGACACTAGCAGAAAGTCACAGCCTGCAGAGGTCATTCCCCAGTGCCGGGGGTGTGGGTGTGGGGGGGAAGATTGTGGACAAGATCTGGCAAGCAGAGTGGAATGATTTCAGGGCACCTCCCACCCTCTGAGGAATATGAGCCAGACCCCTGGTGAAGGGGGTTGAAGATGGGCCCAAGCTCTGTCCCTGCCCTTCCTGGCTGCAAGGGTGGCTGCCCTAAAGCCCGGGAGAGGACCAACTAAGTCTCCCACGCCCGGGGCAGGTTCAGGGCTGAGCTGCCTAAGGTCCTGTCACTCCAGTGGGAACAAGGAAAATCAGAGGTAAGAGCAGATGAGCTGGTTACCAGGCAGCCAGCGAGCATGGTCCCATAGCCCACATGCAGCGGGTGCCTCATAACGTCCAAGCTGACCAGGGGCCAGACCATGAGTGTAAGTTGTGTCTAGAACCCTCTGATACCAAAACCCAAGTGAGTTTAAGAATACCCCTGGATGGGACCAGCAGTTAGCATAATGGCTATGTCGCCAAACTCCCATGTAGTTGACCGCAGTTCGAGTCCTGGACCCGGTGGCTTAAATAGCACAAACCTCTCAAAAAATAAAAAAATAAAAAAATAAAAACACCAAGATATAATTTTAAAAAATAAAGAAGAATACCCCTGGAGATGGCAGGTGGCATGGTGGTTAAAGGCACTTGATTCTGGGACCAGCAGGTGGCATGGTGGTTAAGGTGCTGGACACTCCCACATGGCAGACTGCGGTTCAAATACTGGACCTGGTGTCTTGCTTTCTCACTTTCCCTCTGTCTCTCTCTCTCTCTCTGTATCTCTCTCTGGTCAAATTAAAATAAATGAATGAGTAAATAAAATTAAATAAATAATTATTACAAACCAAAAAAAGGCACTGGATTCCTATATGGCCAACAGTGGTTCGAGTCCCAGACCTTGTGGCTTGCTTGCTTGCTTTCCTTTTCTCTCTCTCTATCTCTGTCTGGTCAAAAGTTTAAAAATAATAGCAAAATGGAATTAAATAATTCTTAAAATAAAACGCTGGCCAAGGCCAGCAGGTGGCATGGCGGTTAAAGCACTGGACTCCCACGTGGCCGACTCCAGTTTGAGTACTGGACCATGGTGAGCATGTGTGCATGTGTGTCCCAAACCCCAGAAAGAGACTAGAGAAGAAGCAATTGTGGTGTGGCCATCTCCCCTAGGGGGTGGTTTCTTTTCCTCTCTCTGATGAGCACACACACACACACACCTATGGCAAAAACCTAAAATAATAATAATAATATGTACCAGCAGGTGGCATAATGACTACGGCATTGGATTCCCACATGGTTGACTTTGGTTCAAGTCCCGAACCTGGCAGCTTGAAATATGCCGAGCATGTGTGTGTGCCCAAAACTCTGAGAGGAGAATGAAGGAGAAGGAATTATGGCATGGCCATCCCCCCAGGGTGATTTCTCACTTTCTGTCTCTCTCTCTCTCTCCAGTGAGTGCACATGCCCTCTGGCACAAATCTCTCAATAAATAAATAAATAAATAAATAAATAAATAAATAAATAAAAAAGAGAAGGCCCTGGCCACGCCTACTCCGCAGTACTGGAGAACTGAATTCCCAGAGGAAAGGACCAGGAGGTGCCGGGCGCCACGGCGGATGCTCCGTGTATCTTGTCTAATTTAACGACGAGTCCTCTGCACAGGAGAGCTCATTCCCGTTTTACAGATGGGAAGTTGAGATGAGTTACATAACCGCCTTCAGGGGGGCCCCTGGATAAGTGACGGAACCTGGACTGGAATGAGGCGATGCCCCCAGTGGAGGAGAGAGGGTCCATAGACCGCCCCCCCACACTCACACTCCTGGCCTCCAGGGGGGTCCCCTGGGAGTGGGGGATGGCGAGATTTCAGGGCTGCCTCTGAGCATCCCAGTTCAAGTTGTCCCCACTGTGCCAGCTTGCCCCCACCCAAGCCTGGGACCCCTAAGTAACAAACCCCACATTGTTCTGCCAGCTGGCCCAGGCTAGAGGGACAGTGGCTGTTTCCCGAGCAGGCTGGCTGTTAGCTAATTCTGCAAGCC